ATTCTATCAGTGACGCCATCAAGCTTCGGATGAAATGAAGTTTAGAGCTTTTCCAATTTCACTGAAGATTATCACGTAATACGCGCAGTAGCATGCGGAATGATGGCACTTATCTGTCTTCGAAAAAAAAACATTAAGCACTGATATCGACCTCGGGATAGCATTCATGGTATGCGGCTAAGAGCTCTGGTTTGAGTCTAACTGAGTTCCTACCTGCTCAAATTGTTGTTACTTTAAATCTGCGCAGCCTGCCGTTTATTACCACTTCCTATCACCTCACCTCGCTACCTTGATCGTCTGCTTACCTTTTTGCTTCGACAAAGTATAATCATGTATATAGCTGAGAAGTGCATCAATAATGCGTTGAAAATGCATAACTTCCAACCAGTGACCACCTGGTACGCGTTCATGACTAAGAATGACATAGCATGCAGAATGGTACTTATATCATGACATGCGAAAAATCATTAGCAGTTGATATCGAACGGAATGACTTTAGCGGTCTTTTTTTTGTTGTCTTTTTACAAATTATAACATCTATGAGGATCGCTGTACCAAATTAAGAAGATGATGACCAGAATAATCCTACTATATATAATCGGCTAAGCGGTTGTGTGTGTGTGTGTGTCTGACCGGAAATTCATAACTTCGTTCCCTTTGATCCCAGAGCGCTCAAACTTCTAGGGTATATAGGGGGTCGGGCGTGAACACTGATGATGGGTGGCGGAAAGTGATAAGTACTGATAGAAGCTGATAACGGGCGTCAGAATGCCGATGTCACCAACTTCCTTACGCCGTTCGCGTTGGCAGTGGATTGCTAGCACTCATGAATATTGTGTAGGGTAGGACTGGGACCCAAATGGTGAGCGAAGGAAAGTGATAGCAAATGATAAGGGCTGATAAAGGGCATCGGAATGCTAACGTCGTCAGTTTCGCAACGCCCTTTGCGTTGACCTAAGATGTTCGCACTCATGAATATTATGTGGGGTGAGGCAGGGACCAAAAGGGTGATTGGAAGAAGGTGGTAGCAACTGATTAGAACTGATAAGGGGCGTCAAAGTGTGGATACTACCAGTTTCGTTGCGGCTTTCGCGGTGACATTGGAACCTTGGCTGTCACATGTGGTATAGGGGATGGGACGGGAACACGGATAGTGGGTGATCAAAAGCGATAACAACCGATAACGGTTGATAAAGAAGTTAGGATTTTGAGTGCCGCTGATTTCGTTGTAGCCTTCGTGGTGACAGTAAATATTAGCTCCTACACGCTACAAGATGGGACGGAGATACGGTGAATGTGGGTGACAGAAAGGGGTATGAAAGGCAGGTGCACTAATAAAAATAGCGACAATTGAGTGTGCACTCGGTTAAACTGAACCAGATTCCTAGCACGGGAATATGTTCCATTTCCACCCTTTCATCTAAAAAAGCAAAGGAAGTTGAGCTGCTCCACTATCTGGACTTGGACTAATAGCGAATAAAATCATATTTCCAATTTCCATCATCGATGCTGATTGATTGGTTATATTTCACTTACACACCGATTCTTCAATTGTGGGAATTCTATAAACCGCTAAATCGCCCGAGCTCGATATCAATGCTAAATGTTTACGAAGTCATGATAAGTACCATTCTCATTCCGCATGCTACTGCGCGCATTACGCGACAATCTTCAGCGAAACTGGACAACCTTTAAACATCATGTGACACATCTTCCAAAACATCTTACTGTTAGTTTCTCAGTCACGTGACCTAATATTCTGCAAGTTGTCCAGTTTCACTAAAGCCCACCATTTGATGCGCGCGGTTGCGTGCGGAGCTAAACTGGTTAAAAACCTACGTAGCTCCGATGGCTGCTGGTTCAAGTATAGATAGTTGAGCGGCTCAATTTTTTTGCTTCTTTGACGAAAGGTTAGAAATGGATCATATTCACGAGCTAAGAATTAGGTTCAGTTTAAATGATAGCACACCAAATTGTCTTTACTTTTATCAGCATAGATGATGATCCAAACAAACACCCTTAAAGGAATCTTCCACGGAAAAAGCTCCGCCCTCATTACCACAGAAAACGATACCTTAAAGGAATCTTCCACGGAAAGAGTGATCATTTTGTCTTGTGTGTAGGATTAGTATTATCGAAACTAACGCTTATGTTCCGTTCTTTTTGCTATGCTCATGAGGCTAGGGGCCTAAGGGGTATCGTTTTTCTGTGGTAATGGAGGCGGAGCTTTTTCCGCGGAAGATTCCTTTAAGAGGGAATTTTTGATTGTGCCATTCAGTCGAACTGTCCATGGTGGGTTTGAAAGTCAGGGACGGGGATGTCCCAGAGTCCTGATCAGGTTTGAGTTTGGCCGAAATAAGCAAAGTAAAACTTCAAATTTCAAATTACTTTCAAACCGTGGAATTCCTGAGGCGATGAACCGGTAACGTTATTTTGCTGAAATTTCAAGCGTACGAATGAGAATTACATGCTGATGGGCTCAGTTCGACTCAGGGAACGTTCCAGTATGCATAATTTGTGTGGGTGGACACGTTTCTATCCTCACGTAAACCAAAGGATATGGCTCGCGAACGCACCAGCACAGGCCGTAGCGGCTATTCACTCATGGCGAAGGAAGCTGACCTTTTCTGTTTGTGTCAAGTATGGTGCATCTGATGAACTTTGGAATTGCTGCATTAATGGATGTTAAAGATTATGGCCGCCTGGATGCAATATCGCTCTTCGCCGAGTGAGAGCGGGAGCGAGTCGAATCATGGTAGAGTATCTATCCTATCTATGGGTTAGAAACTTGTGAATTTGATGGTCGTTTGTGTTTATACTCGATATCGAGAGTTGGGTAGGCGTGCACCGGAATGATTTATGATTAGAGTGACCCAACATAACACTTGTAGAGTATGGACACTCCAATATCAACACGAACTACAAAACAGAATGGGCAACTCTCGCGTTCTAGCGCATCTTATCAGCCCTTATCAGTTGTTATCACTTTCTGTCCCCCACCAAATATGTTCCCGTCCCATACCCCTATATCATATCTTGAAAATGAACTCCTGACGACCGCTGCTACCCGCGCTATGAATTTCCGGTCACACACACACACACACACACCAACAGACACGCTTAGCCGATTATATTTAGTAGAATATTTACCAGTGATCTATACGTGATATCTCGAAGTCAGATTAGGCGTGTCTATGGGGTTGACGTGGGCGGCCCTCCGCATGTTGATTATAGTTGCCGGCGCCGGTCCAGATGAGAGCTCTGCTGGTATTCACTGGAGTACGTTAGAAAGAGCCTATCCTCACGGCTTTTATCAAGTGCGGCAAAGGCCACGTCGAATCCATAGCCACGCCTAATCTGACTTCGAGATTTCGACTGTATGTAGCTGTTATGGAATGCCCCTTCATTTTTTAGTCACTTGGGGAAACAGAAGAAAGGGCAGTAACGTGCCTTGAAGTTTCATCAGAAATGGTTGCTTAAAACGGCCATATGTCTGTTAGAATCCCTATCTGTCTGTGAGGATACTTGCACACACACATTCTGTGTGATACTTATAGGCAGAAAGAATGACACTTGTATGCGGATTCGGAAGCAGGGGCGCTGAAGGTGCGTTTAATGACAGCCAAGAAGCACAGGAGCCAGCCAGAAACCCGCGAAATGAGACCTCTATACATGAGGCTAACAATAAGAAGCAACTGTTATTGGCAGAGAGTAACCTAAATGGATCCTACTATATATAATCGGCTAAGCGGTTGTGTGTGTGTGTGTCTGTGTGTGTGTGTATGTGTTTGTCTGTCTGACCGGAAATTCATAGCTCGGGCACCAGTGGTCGTCAGGAGTTGGTTTCAAGATATGATATAGGGGGTGGGACGGGAACATATTTGGTGGGGTACAGAAAGTGATAACAACTGATAAGGGCTGATAAAAGGCGCTAGAACGCAAGTGTCGCGAAATTCATAGTGCGCTTCGCAGCAGTCGTCAGGAGCTGATTTTGGGGCATGATATAGGGGGTGGGACGGGAACATATTTGGTGGGGGTCACCAAGTGATAACGACTGATGACGACTGATATAACGACATGCGTACGAACGTAGAGAGCACTTGAAATAGAGAATAGAGAGCAGATTGTAGATAATGCCTTTTATTTCAATATCATTTCATCAGCGTTGTAATTGTAAACTCAAGCACCTTTCGACCGCTACTCCTTCTAGAGTTCTTGAGGATGAATGGGATGCTCGAATAAATATGATAATGAATACTGGCCTTCCGTTTTGAGATACTTCGACCGCTAAATTACCTCGATACTCGACGCATAGTGGTTGTTTACATCATCACTTTAGCTGTGCACTTCACTGCGCTTATCAAACAGTGAGATACGGCCAAGATGGGCAGCCTATGCAACGGACAGTAATACATTTAGGCTATAATTGAGCGGATTGAAGCCTAAGCTTCATCGATTGTTCAGTCTTATACATTCGCGCCTCGCGAACCTTTGGGTATGCGGAAGCGGAGCTGAACTGGTATTATAAAAGATCACAAAACACGGCCCTTTTGGTATGAAATCTTTTTGGAAAATGAAAATCGAACGGTAGCAATTATGATGGGGAAAAAATTAAAATCACGTTTGGTGACGTGGCTATCTCGGAGGAGTTTGGATTATTAAGGTTTGCAATTAACTGCTTGGAAATTGGGCGCCTTTCGCCGTGAGAACGAAACACTTTGTTCAAGTTGCCGCCTGATATTCACTTCCACAGGTAAAAATATACTTCACTGGTCCAGACCCAGACGAACTTTGTTTTTGCCGCCTGGTACTCACTTCCACAAGTGGAAATACTTCACTAGTCCAAACCCGTTTTATGGCAATTACTCCTTTTGAATAGGATCCAGACGAGTCAATTCGAAGTGATGATAGGTATGAAATACTGTTGAGTACATTGTATTGTGAGTACGGTATTTTTGCAATTCAATATTTTGCTCGAAAAAGGTGGAAGTTCTGAAGGATCATCGCTTCTTGTCTGCACCAAACACCTCGTTGCCTCCAATACCGGCCAGAGTTTGATAGTTCGGGTCGAACGTGCCTGCTTTCGCGCCCTTAAAGAAGGTTTCTAAAACTGAAACGACACCAAAGTAATGGCTTGCATGTGAGCTTACGAGGTTTGCCGGTGGCTTCGGTGCTGCAGGTTTGCCACCACCTCCTCCCTTTTCGCCCGTCCGGCCGCTACCATTCGCCGGCGCGCGCACCAAATACATCGCCACCGATTCCAGCCAAGTTTGATAGTTGGGATCAAATGTTCCGGCTTTGGCGCCCTGAATGTTATATAGGATTAGTCACTTGAAAAGTAGCTAGTGATCCAAGCAAAACCTATGAAACAAAGGAAAATCGCGTAAACCTGATTCGCAGGAGCTATGGGCTTTCCTCCGCCCCCTCCACCACCACCTCCGGCCGCCTTAGTTGTCCGCTCCAAATACATCGCCACCAACTCCAGCCAAGGTTTGATAGTTCGGATCGAAGTACCCGCTTTCGCTTGCTAGAAAATCGGTAATGGATAAGGAAAACGGGCAAATTTCCTTTTTTCATTTATTGTGTCCCGCTCGTGGCTCACATCGCTAGATCCAAACACGACTGTTTGAAGAATTTCAAGTGGATGAAGGATACTCGGCCTTTTTTGCGAGGAGACCCGCTCTAGTTTCACCCAGGATCTTTGTTGCATTTAGAATGAGATTTACCCTAGATACATAACGATGGAGCATAGCTAATGTACATTCAGGGGTTATTCCTTACACATGGTGGTTGGTAGCGAATGACCTACTCCAGAAGATAGACATGATGAGCACGTCCAGTTAGCACCCAAGATTGAAATGTCGCCAATGCTCGTTGGAAAGGTTACATTTGCCATCACGCCTTTTTCCACCTTTTCTCCTCCCAGCATTTGTTTGATCACCCAACTGGAAATGATTGGGAAGAGTGAGAGCCAATTACGTTTTTCCACATTACTGTATGAAAGATGTTTACCCATTTTCACATTTCTCTGGAGCGGTTTTTCATAAGAAATTTGGTCTGCCTGAAAAAGGGGTGGCTTCTGGAAGCAGGAAGAACAGCTTCACCTGGTTTGCAGGTGCTACAGGCTTTCCTCCGCCACCTCCGCCACCTCCTCCACCACCTTTCTTGTCCGCTCCGAATACATCGCACCAATACCAAGCCAACGCTCTCCCTCGCGCTCCACGCTCTCGCGCTCATGGGCTAGCTGCTTCTTGCAAGTTAGAACGATCGGTGCAAGCAGAGTCAACCCTGCGTTGCGCAGTTTTCAACGGCCACGTTGCGCAGTTTCGCCCGATTAGACACGTTCTCTCGCGCGAACATTCACACTCGCATGCTCGAGCCGTCTGCGTCTCCGCCCATACAGCGTGCGTTGAGGATCTCTCAACGTGCCGTTGCGAACTGCGCAACGCAGGGTTGACTCTGCAACCAGCCACACATTAGAAATTTGTTGACATGGGCAGTGAGTAAGCTCTGGCACGTTTTCCAGTGCTTGATGCACATTACGTCCGCTGTAGAAATGCTCTACAACTTTCTGAGACAACCATTTTTCAAGATCAACCTATGACACCCAAAAGATGTTAAGCCATAGCTATGATTTTTTGAGCAGGGTTTTTGAGTCAATATCCTGAATGCCTAAACTGATCCCTACGGTTAACGAGTCATCATGAGTACGGAAACAAAACTTAACCTGGTTTGCGGGAGCAAGTGGCTTTTATCACCGCACCTCCGCACCCACGCGCTCTCCACCTCCACACCGTTTTTGTCTGCTCCAAATGACATCGCTACAAACTCAGCATAGAGTTGGTAGTTGGCATCAATACTGTATCCTAGATGAATATTGTCTATGAAGCTCAATACTTCCTAGCGTGAAAAAAAAAAGCTCCTAAGTTGGTCTGGCACAGAAAGAGAAGGTAAGAGGCTTTCTTACCAGCCATTCCCCCGGCACCAGCTTTGGGTGCACCGGGTGCAGCGCCACCGCCGCCACCTCCACCACCGCCGCCACCACCACCTTTTTTGTCGGCACCGAATACATCACCTCCTATTCCGGCAAGGGTTTGATAGTTGGGATCGTATGTTCCTGACATGATTCCGATAAAGTTCATGTAAAAGAACCAGAAAGATTGGTGTCATTGAATAAATTGATGTACTGTAGAAAATCTCAAAGGCATATCAAATTATCGAAGTACAAGCCGACTGTGTTTGCTAATTCGCGGGATAACACAAGCGTCACCGCCATGCGCCTTGGCTCCAGGCTGGGTGCTGCCCCCACCACCTCCTCCTCCACCACCACCACCACCTCCGCCTCCTCCTCCACCGTCCTTCTTCTCAAACACATCTCCCCCGATTCCAGCCAGGGTTTGATAATTCGGATCGTGAGTTCCTGGAACAGCTCTTATTGTAATTGATATTTAAAACCAAGAAATCGAGAGCCTCATTTGAAATTTGGATTGTCGGTCACTTCTTTTGTTGCCGCAGTGACATGGCAACGCTCAACTTTACTCTACAGAGGTTCGATCCGGAGAGAACTTTCACAGTGAAGTGATAGATTCCATAAGCATGTGTAGTCGAATGGGGATGCTTCGCGCTATTGGGTGAAGAAGCAAAAAATTCTACAAGACTACGCGACATGTGGACCTCTTTGGCAGTTGATTATCGTCTATTTACGAGAAAATCAGTAATCATGCTTGCATGGATGGGTTTGCCTCGATAGCTGACATCATCCCAGCAACATCATACTTTGGTTGATTTTTCAGACAAACTCGAAGCAGGACACCGGGTAAGGACTTGTGGAAGAACCTTTTCTGGGTAGGATAGTTGTCCACTGGTATCACGAATGTGCCGTTGTCGCGGCACGAAAATGCGCAACAATGGCACCAGGGCCTTACAAATCAAGCTAATGAAAAGTCTTCAACAAGAGTTTCCTATTTTTTGTTCGTATTGAGCTCGACATCCAAAGTTCCGTTATCAAACGATTTCACCCCATCTATTGAATTGGGGGTGTTGCTTTGAAGATATGGCCTGTCGAAAGGAAAGAAATGAAAAGTATATGAAAAGCAGTTGGTGCTGCCACTTCCGGGACACCAGTTGGCGGACCAGCTTTGGCTTCAAGTTCCGAGTTTGATGCTATACTGCGCAGCAATCACCTCATCATGCGCTGAGAAAACGCCACATCTCGCTTCCTTTGCCACCTAGCTACTGCTATCGGTTGGATGTGCTTCTTCAGACACAGTTTATCGTAATTAATGCGCCAGTTTATTCACCGCTTTTATAAAACCGTGGGATCAAGAAACGAAATTGACAAGAAATAAAAGCAGTGTTCAATGAGAGAATGAACAATTAGAAAGTAGGGTTTGTGCGTCAATAAGCGCCATTTGGCGCCTCGCACGCGATGTCGCGTCTGCTTACCATTGCTGTACGCAAATATGAATTACAGGGTGACCCATAAATATTGCACCACATTTTGAGCTTAAATTCTGTGAGTGTTTATAGCTCTTCCTCCGAGATTGGCAGACCTTTATTCCTCTATCCTCTTGTGAATGACCATGCCAAATTCCACGGCTTACCGTTCGGCCTGCATCTCATGGTGCGCCTGAAACTTCAGAAAGTGTCCTAACCTTTTGCACAGCTAGCTCAGATCATGTGGTAATAAACATCGCACTTTCTCGGAATCTTAATCGCTCTGCGGCCTACCGCGCATTGTTGAGAAAGACTAAGAATGTAGGCTCCGGTGCAGCCTGCCGTAAGTTGCCATCTTGGTTCTCAGTAAAAACACGAAGAAGCGGACCGACTGCAACACACAAGTTTCCTCGAGAAAGATGAGCAGAGCTCTGAGAACTTCGGAGAGTTGTCTTATAACATGTTGTTTTTAAGCCATTGTGAGCTGCACAAACGCTACTACTCAACCGAACCAGCAGAGAGAAAACTGTGAAGAGCTGGTGCCAGGATCCGAAAAAGGCTGCTGCATGAGCACAATTTTCTTGACGGCGAAATCCCCAGCGTAGAGCGAAGCCAGATTCTAAACTTGAAGGATGTTCCCATGAGGTCTTGAGAAAGCCATTGACAAGGGAAGCGTGCCGGACCATCCTATGTGGGTTGTGCTAGGGGACACAGCCTGCACTGAACACTGCATTCACGTGGATGAGCCAGAGCCTTTTCTCTGCAAAGTTTCGGAAA